CAGTATTTTACATCAGCTAATTTCAAATGCATTGAACAGCTAGATGGGATTCTTAAATATATTGGGTTTGGTAACTGTATTATCCCCTCGTTTGTCTTTTAAATCAGAAATGAGAAAAAAACAAACAAAAGCTAAAGATTATTCCACAAAGACACAAAACAGCTGCTTTAACAGATTCTCCCTAACACAGGAACTAAGAAAGGAAAAGCGTTCACATTAACCCGCAAAAGCCTCTATCACTTCATGAAGGGCCATGTTGACTGAAAGGTCGCTGAAATCAGATTAATTTGTTACTGACTCCAGTAATCTTCAGATCAGATCTGCAGGCTCCAGAGGAAGTTACTCTTTGCCCTACCCATCTGAAAACCAGAAGTAGCATTACAGGAAATACGTGTTACAAAAAGTGTATTTTATATTTCTCAGTTTTATTATCTAGCAATGGCTATTAGTAATATATTGACAGTAACAGTAACAAAACATGGCACAGTAAATTTTTGCATATCTATAGACTGTCTAAACAAGAGATGAGGACATTATCTCCTGTATACATGAAGACCTTTTTTAATATCTCTTTTGTCACAGAGCTGAAGTAACCAGTTGGCAGCCTCAGTCATCAGGCACAGCAACAATATAAACAGATGGAGACAGGCAGTCTTTAGAGCTGATAAACATAAGCACCACCACTTTTCATAGCAATCAAAACTGTATTTACTCATGAGGCACTTACCAGAATTTATTCAGTATTTTCTGACTTCTGCAGCAGAATTAACATTTTAAAAACTCAGGAAACTGCCCTCTGACACTTGCTCTGAAATGCTGGCAGATTAGTCCACTCACTGAGGATTTTTCAAGTGCTTTTCACCGAGAGATTAGGAACCCCCGTCAAATCTACATTCTGGAAAACAGCCTACAAATTCTATTCCCAGAATTGTAAAGTAAGAACAGCATCTTGCTGCAGAAGGTCTGGGAAACTGCAAAAAAAAAATCTTATGATTGCTTATTTGCTCAGCTACTGATTATTTCTGTAGTAGTGCCTCAAGTACAGAAAACAAGACTCTCACTTTAGACTACCACTTCCTAAAGAAAGTCCCTACCAGACTAAACCTACCAACTTTACTTGTATACTTATGAGTTTCACTCCCTACTTTTACAGTGCTACAGACAGGCAAGTGTTACTATTCATATATGAACAAGATGTTAGGAGTTTATACTTCAATTTAGCAATTATGAAATACTTAAATTTAGTGCCAAATACACAGAAATAATGTGAAATAATCAGATCACAGGTACCTAAGCATTTCACTAGTAACACAAGGTACTGAAAGCTTTAAGGTCCTTATCTCAGTAGGAAATAAATCAGATACCTCCTCTCTAACCCTGCAGCATTACAGAAAGCAGATCTCAGAACTGCAGCATGCACAAATCTAACATCTGCAGCCTGCCTGGAAAACCACCCAATTCAGGTTCCTTTGTACCAAGGCAAAGGGAGCAAACAAAGAAAACCTGCCAGTCTGCTCTCCAGCTTTGGTATGGCTGAACACAGCTGAAGCTATTTCTAATGGAAAAAAATTCCCACAGAACTCAGTTAAGGGATTTACAGGTCTTTATCAGAATTTTAAATTCAGCTGGCTCCCCCTTAGTCTCCAAACCAATAGACCTAAGTATCAATACCTTATGCTGCCAGTGCAACGCCTTTTCATCAGGTTTAGTCTCTAACAGCTTGTAAAGAGATTACCGAAATGATTTCTAGTCCTGTTCATTTTGTAAAAGTGCTTATATAGACAGGTCACAAATTAAAGTTTTCTTTCGGGATTCACCCAATTCATGCATTCCCTTTAACAGCATCTTTCAGAGCCGGCCCTCTAGCACACTTCTCACTTCATCCCTGTGATATCACATTCTGGCTTGGCATAAAAAGGGAAGAATATAACCAAGAAATGTGGCACTCAGATTCAGATCTAAGTGATAAACACAGTATAACTTCTTCACAGATTTGAAATTAAAATTAGGCTCAGATTACATTAATCATTCATTAGATCCTTTAAACTATAGTGTATTTATTTTATAAAAAATACGCATATTTAAAAAGTCACATGCTTTATCAACATTTCCCCCCATGATTCTGAGGACTGAATGCCAGGACAACTTTTTCCAGCAGATAAAGAAGCAGCCATTTCTTCTCTAGTTTCACATCCCACACCAAAATTAATTATACATGAAGTTTTACTTTAAAGCATTATAGAGGTGGAAAATACAATCCATAGAACTTGATAATATCTCAAGCTAAAGACATGCAAAAGAATTAGATGGCTATTTAACAGTATTCTAACACACTTTCCCACCATATGCAGGCAGCTCCAGTGCAGTAGGGTTACTGAAGGCATACACACTTGCTGCCTACCTGTATACCCTATATTTAACAGGCACACACAGGATTTCAACCGAGCGCAATATGAACAGGACTACAGTTAGTATTCCTGACAGATTCATACCCTTCCATTCTCCCAGTAACTATTATTCAACCATCCACAGATCTGTCACCTCAGAGGTTGAACAGTTTTTCTTCAGCAACAGTTTGGGAAAAGACAATAAACCCCAGCTCACAACTATTTAGCTATGCTACCAAGGTCCACATAGAGCAAAACTGCAAAACACTTGAATTAAAAAAAGCTGGTTTTTTTCATAACTTCTGGTGAAATGAGGAAAGGAAACATAGTTGCTCATATAGGCAATTTCAAAGGGAAACAAGAACTTGCCTTGATTTGTGTAATACTTTAAATTATCCCACTGTGCTAGAATCTCAGTTTTACAACTTACCACATCATTTCTGGAATCACTAAAAAATGTCTTCATATAAGCATTACCAATATTAGGACTTTATCTCAACCAATTCCTTAAGCAAAGGTTAAGAACTGCCAAATGCTTCACTTGATATGGCTAACAGCTTAAATGAAGCTCACTGAAACCACTGTAATTCCATTTGTAAAGTATTTCAAAATCCATTTCTGTTCCCAAAAGAAAACATGTTTACCACAGAAAGGAATTAGTTCTCTGCCCACTGTATGGATCAACTTTCCTCCTGAGCATATTGTCAAATGGATGTTCAGACTCTGGAGCCTCTGGACTGGAGGTAATCCTAGGGTTAGCCTGGATTCAGAGGGGTTTAGCCAGACTAGGAGTAGTGTTATGCAGAGCCTTGGGAGGATCCCTAATTTACAGTTCTCTGCTCTCTCACTTAATTTGGTGAGCTAGTAAACAGACTAGGACGCAAACTGAGGAGAGCTACCCTCACTTCTAAAAGACTCCAGTATATCCTAGGAACATTTCAGCCAAATTAACAAACTTTGATAGAGAACACTAAGCTGAACCTAACTGACCTTTTAATTTTAATAAACACATATTTTCCATTTATAGCACCACTATTAATGATGTTAGACACTGGAGAAAGGTTATCCTAGTCACCCACATCTTCTCAAATAGCTAATACTTCAAATAACATCATGGATTAAAGCAGAAAGTACTGATGGAAAAGAGGGCATCTGTGGTGCTACAACTACTCCCAAATACAGTCATGTGACTGAACCCATGGAGAGATCCACTTTGTTCTCACACTCATGTCCCATACTCAGTCTCAAACACATTCACAAATGCATACTGCAAACAAACTCATACTACAAACAGCTGATAATTGAGTAAAGCTCATAAATTAGAGATGCCACAGCTGAAGGCAGGATAGGAGCTAAGCATGTTAATCTTACTTTGACCCAAGTCTACACACTTTAGCAAACTGGTTAATCATATTTTTCATTCAATCATTGTTGTCTGTGAAACAGTATTCTAAATAACCTACCAAACCAAATAATTAAATGAAAATAATTAGCTGATAAGTACTAATTGCCACAATACCTTTCACTACCACCTTTCCCTAGACCTTTACAAAAGTTAACAACTTGTACAGAAGTTAAGCGGATGGGAATCAAGTAGTAGCTCAAAACTCATACAACCTCTGAGAAAACTACTATTCTGTAAAGTGAAAATGAACAGCACAACAGAAATTGTCTATGAACCACCGCCAGCACAGATAGAAAACCATAAATCAGTAAGTTTGTCTCTGAAGCCCTGTGAGAACATGCAAATAAACTGGCCTAAGAACAACCTCCTCTCTTGCTTTTGCTTCCATAGCACTTACTACCCAGGATCTTTGCTCTCTAGACTATGGTTATAAATCATCCTCATCACAGATAAGAGGCAAACATTCACCCTATTACTAGTCCTTATGACAACTTCTCATGAATCTTAGGATAGAGAAACAGCATGAAATAAGATAAAGCTTGAGCATCAGTTGCCTGGAAAGTTTACATATATTGAAAGACTCTGTAACTAAGTTTTCTGCTGACAAATACACACGAAAGTTTTGTTACTTTCCCACAAGCCTTGCAGCACACGCCTTGGATGTCCATAGTGCTTAGACTCCCACAGAGACAACAGAACTCCCTGGTTATTCCTGCCCTAAGGGCATGGGTCTCCTATATGCCTCAACAGAAAAAAACAACCACCTGTATTTTGCAATAAGGAACCCAATCCTATAGAAAGTGAACAAGTCATTTATTCTAAAACTAACCTGCTAGAAGTGCTGCAACACGCTGTCACCCATGCCCTGAGAGCACATTTTATCCAGTGTAAAACAACATTCCTAGAGATGTCCTCAAAAGTCTGAGCTACACAACAAACAACCTCCCCCTAACGGGCCAAGACCCAGTAAAAGATGACATGCTACCAACATAACACCCGAGCAGAGAAAGCAGCTGTGTTAGCGGATTACACAGGTACTAACTTGAAGCCTCTGTCCCTGCTTAATGGGACAGTCAACTAAACACGTGTAGATAAGCCAGGTTTTCTGAACAGGCTCCCTTCAGAAGTGGCTCTCGCACAAACAGTACTTTCCCTGAAGACTTTTGTATGCTCCACTGCGTGGAAGCACCCTTACTCGCACTCGTGGTATGAGTGCCCGCCTTTTTGCCCAGCAGAACGGCAGGACGCGACAGCTAGACCGGGCCTCCCTCGACCGGAGGCCTCCAGCAGCCCCGCCGGGGCAGAAGGCGCTGGAAGCCGGCCGGAGGGCTCACTCTGTCAGTAAGCAAACAGTCCATTA